AATCAATATTATATCTAATTCTATTAAAAAAAAATTTAATAAATGGATATAGAAATATAATGTAATATAAATAGTTTTGAGAAAACATCAGAACTTAGTTGAAAATTCAACTTCAAAATGATTTTTTCAAAAATAATATTTATTTTAATAAATATGATTTATATTAAGGCTCTATGTCATGCTTTAAATAGGATTTAACTGTTGACAATTACACACCATTATTTGGTTGGCAAAATCAAATGAAGATAAAGTATTTTAATATATACTTGAAATTACAAAGAATTTATTATAATTTTCTTATGTCTGTCAAATAAAGAATCATGATTTTATTGGCAAATTAAAATATAAGATCCCGTCTAAATAGTATCAAAGATCCTTTCTAGTGATTAAAAATTCCCTAAGATAATTTTTGCACAATGATAGATTATTTAAAATTTAATTCATAATATTAGATAGATATTAAAGTAAATAATTATAATTCTTAGGGAAAAATATCAATTTTATCCTCAATGATATTTCAATTCGTAAACGTAAAATGATAAAGTTTAATCATTCCAAACTATTAAAGAGTTTCCATCCTCAGTAATATTTCCATAATTTTTGCAAGATCTACAATCATTTGGCTCATTTTGAACATTAAATGATTAACTTTGATAGCTCAAGATATTAACATATTTGTAATGCTTTATGATAAATATTTATAAATAGAAAAAAATAAGGATTATCCATCTATAAGTATTAATTCTTAAGTTAATTTGAAACTCATTTTTGTCTACAAACTTTTCTACTTCTTATTTAAATATATGAAAAGAACCCTAATATTCTTTTCACCAAGCTATTGTATCTTTATTAAGAAAACAATCACTAAATCCATTATCATTTTTCAGATTTTCAAAAACTTACTTGAACTTAAATTTTCTTTCATTTGCCTTCTTTTTCCAAACTATTATTGTTTTATCATCACTAAATGAGACTATTTGTGTTTTTTCTTCATTCATACTCACCTAACCACTATTTTTACTATGCTTATTAAGCTAATAATCAAACATTAACTAATTCTTATCTGTGTTTAAAGTCCAAACCTTGATTGATCCATTTGAACTACCAGAAAAGATTAAATTTTCACTTTAATTTAAAAATAAACACCATACAATTGAATAAGTGTCACAAGGTTATGATGGTACCCAATAAATTGAATTAGCAATCTTTTTCGATCCTATGATCTTACAATCTATACTTCCAGTTATAAACCAATTTATCTGTTTATTAAAAATAATATACGTAACATCTAAATTATGACCTTTTAAGTTTACTCCTGAATCTCTGAATTATCCTATTTCAAAATTTCAAATTTTTTACATCATTTTTAGATTCTCCAGCCATTATTGAACCTTATTTATTGAGTGCAAGTGCAAAACACCGTTATTCTTAATAAACTTCTTAAATTTAATGATAAGTTATCTCTCTTTAAGGTGGACGCTTGTCAAAAATAGATCCTATAGGACACTCTATGTGATTTGCTTTTATTTTATTAATTAGTTTAAGTTCTTCATAATAGAAGGCATCTTTCAAAACACTTTTTATCCGTTTCTTTTTCTATTATTTTTATAATTTATTTGATTATGGCAACAGAACTTATTCATTTATTTTAGTAATTCTTATTTATTTTATTTATTCTCTCTGTTTCTAAATACAATTATACTTCATCCCATGAATCTTTATTATTTTTATTTAGTTCATCTTTATATTAATGTGAATTCGCTATTACACATGTCCACAACTTTTATTAGGTTTTCTTTAAGTTTATCTGAGTATTTGGTAAATTAATCAATTTCATTAATGTTTTATTTTCTTAAAGTATTAATTTAGTTATTCAACTTCTCCTAATTATAATTAAAAAATCTATACTAATTCATAATTAAATTTAATTTTAGATAATAGAATATGTAATTATGACAAGAGACATAGTTATTATCTAACTTACACTTGTAACGAATAATGAAAATGTTTATTATTGAAATGAAAAAATTCTTAATTATAAAATTTTTATCCCATTCAGGATATAATAAAATGTATTAAAATATTTTTGGAATAAGAAATATTGAATTAATAGAATAATGAGATAAGGTTGGATTATTTTGGATTCATATATTATTATTATTCAATATCATATTAATAAAATAAGAATTATGAACAAAGTTATAAATACTATTGAAAATATAGATATATTTGGTGTTCCTATTTGTCTTCTATCTAATACAAATAATTAAAGATATCAAAGCAAGGTTGGAGGGATAATAACAATTATGTTGAGTGGATTAAGTTTAGCTTATTTTTTATATGTGATTGTTCTATGGATCAACAATTAAATAGCACCTATTATAAGCTCAAAGTAAAAAACCATAGGTTATGCTGAATTTTAATTGTAGGAATCTATGATTGAACTAACATTAGAAGATTTCACTAGAGATGTTGATCCTTTCAAAAAAGAAAATAATATCATTACACCATTATTAGTGACCTTTATGAATACTACTGTTTAAGAAAAGCCAATTCCTTTGTTTTCAAATGATGAAAAACCATATAGAATTGAATTAAGCAATGTTAATCTAGTTTTAAATACACTTGATTCTGTTGATGAAACACAAAAATTATAAGAATAACACGCAATCGTACTTGCAAGATGTTCAAGTTAATTTCTCATTGAGGGAAGTAATTGTGCTGATGAAAAAACAATAGATGAATATTTATCTAGATTTCATGGGTTTTTATTCATCAAAATTAAATTAAGTTAATTAAATCTAATAACAAAAGAACTAGAACTATTCAAAAAATTATTTTATACAAGCTTTGATGCTAAAAGGCCACAGTATTCTCAAATAATGTTGAAATAGTAACAATCAATAATCGATAATGGTATTTTATTTAATTCTTATGAAAATTTTAATTTTTTAAATAACTATGAATTGATTACTTAAGAGACTGATAAAACATATATTGCAAAAGTAATTAATGCAATGTCAAGTTTCAATTATAATTTTGATAGCTATGGATGTTATTTATTTAGGATTGATAATATATCTATTGTTGAAGAAATTACCTATCCTAAATTAGGTGTTGTATTAGCCTAAATTGGATCCATTATCTAACTAATATTTATGTTGAAACATGTAGTATTATACTATAATAATTAATTATCAGAAAATGAGTTATTAAATGAAATCATTACAATGTACTATCCAGAATTTAAATAATATTCTGTGAATTTCTTAAATCTATTTAAATTTGATAAATAAGATTTAAATAATAAATTGTAACCAATAGAAAGTTTAAAATTAAAGTACTAGATATTATAAAAAGGAGCAAAAGAAAAGTGCAGATTAACAAATCTGCTTTATGAAATTTCAAGAATATAATTTATTCTCTAGGATAAATTTGGAGATTAGATCTTATCTATAGATTCTATTGATTTGGAAAACTAATGTTATGCGATAGAACCCTTAGAAATTTTGATAAAACAAACCTGATATATAATGATATCAAAAAAATAAATATTATTATTAAGATTAATATTAAGTTTGAGACTTTCTAAAATTATGGAAGCAGAGAACAAAAATTTCTAAATTAAATATATGAAAATGGCTTCTCTGATATTGTTTATTTTTTTATTTCTTTTTATTTTAATGAGAATTTTTATAATCCTAGATAGATATAATAATGATTTCAATATACAAAAAAATCAATTGATATGCAGCATCTCCCTGTTTATAAGTTGAGCAGTAATATTCTTACTTGTTAATATTCTCAGTCTCCTATTTCATAATTTTAATAACTTAACATGATCTATCCTACTTATTGTAAAATACTATTTTCCAAATTATCTAATTTAAGCAATTTGGTTTACTTTTTCATTATTTTAAGTTAAAGCTGAGAGATTCAATATATTATTTTGATGTATCCAATTTTAAATTAAAATTGAAGGAAAATTTCTACTGAAAATAATATACTATAATTCTGATTATTGTATCAAGATTAAATTATAATCATTTTTATGAAAGTCTTTTCAACCATTATAAGTGGCATCCATTTACACTATATAATATTATAATAATTAAAAAATAGTTATAATTATATATATAAATAAAACGGGAACCCCTTAGTCAAATTAGAGATGAAATATAAATTAGATTCTTATTCAAGGTAAGGTGACTATTAATCGACTATTTGCAGATAATAACAACAGCCTTTGGAAAGGATTATATAATGATAATGGTCAGAAAGTAGGAAATTAGGTAGAACCTTAAGAAGGATATTGGAAGTAATAAAATTAATATGGTTTAAATCAGTTTATGCCAAATTTACTTTATTATGATATAATCAAAGATTCAGATAAGGAAAGTGGATCCATCAATAAGATGACAAAATTATGTAAATATAAAGTAATTTTTAGAAGAGGAGGATTGTATAACAAAGAAGGATAGAAGGAAGGATTAAGGATTGAAATACATGAAAATTATGAAAGATTGTTTATTGTGATTATTCAGAAATTATTAAGTTATATTTAAAGGAGTATATTAAAATAATCACAAAATTGGAATTTAGGTTTATTAATTTTATGAATCTAATCAAAATAATTCTATTAAAATGTATCTATAACTTAATAGATTTTAATAGAATTGGTGTTTAATAAATTAGGTACTTTTTTGGAGAATATACTAATGGAAAAAAGTCAAGATACTGGTAAATCAAATAAGGAAATATAATAATGTAAATTTTAAAATAAATTTGTAAGTGGAGGTGGTTTATACGACGGTATGAGTTTTAAAAATGGAAAATGGAATGAATTAAGCAACTTTAAATTTTATTATTATATTAGATCAAATAAGGCATTTTTTTAAGATAATTAGGAGAATATTACAAAGGATTTAAATAAGGTAGATGGGAAATCATATTAAATAAAAACTAAGTTTTAGAAAAAATGTAGATAATTATTTCACTTTAATATTTAGTGGTGGGGGTATTTATGATACTTAAGGAATGAAACATGGACAATTGATTTCTTTACATGATAATTATAATCAATATAATAAATCAGTATTTTAGTAATTGTAAAATCATAGATTTTGGATAATATTGTCTTGTAATTAAATAAGGTAAATGGGATATGAAGACTATTAAATACAATTAGCATGATGTTTTCACATATAACTTTTAGCCTAAAGATACATTTTACAAAATGTCATATTTTATTTAATAGTATATTAGAGCTCGCAGTAATTACTAAAATGGATAAAAACATGGAAAATGGATTACTTAGATGAAAATTATAATTATCATAATCAAATATTATATGAAGGAGAATTGTACTAGTGATTCTTAAATATTAGTGATGGAAGGCTCTAATAAAACATAATGGAATATTAGATAAAGAATATCTGTAGATCAATGGAGATATAGATTATTTTTTATAAATAATCATGTTTTTACATTTTAGCCTATAGAGGCAGCTCTTCAATTATAGGGATCAGCTCATATTCATATTTTTATTTACAATACTCAAAAAGAATAGTATTTAAAATCAAAAACACTATTGATTTAAGGTGGTGGGTAACACTGCAGACCTTAAATTCCTTAATTATACCTTGATTCGATCAACCTTTTACTATCTAAAATGGTCATTATTTAAACTTTAATAGATTCAAATTCTCATCCTCCAAATCTGATTTGGAATGGATTCATTTACAAATTTTAATTATAAAATTCAAGGGAGATAGACTTGCCGATTAAGATTTTATGATCTAAGTAAATCCATTATCTTCTCATTTTATTAGTTAATTAATGTTGAGTTTTATCTTTAGGTGTTTTAAGATTATAATTGCATTAGTAACAATTTTATAATCAATAATATAACTTCTCAAAAGAAAAAAAATTTCTTAAATAGAGCAATAACTTTCATCTCAGTATTATTATTAAAAAAAAAATTGAAAAATATAATGATATATCTAATTTTTACTAACAACTATCTTTTTATTGTTAACAGTTTTCTAATTCTTATACTTCTCTTTAATCTTTTACTGATTTTTGTTCTTTTTAAATTTGGTATTTTTAATCCTTGAAAATTAATAGCTGTTTCGATAAAATAACAATGATAATTGATGAAAGAAGACAGCTTAAAATAAAAATATATTATCAATAGAAATACCAGAATATTTTTGATTATTGATTATAAATCAATATGAAGATTATTTAGAGTAATAAATTTTTAATATAGACAAAAAAAAAATTAAAAGTAATTATTAGAATCACTTTTTACATCTATTATTTGGGTTTCAAATTTAGAATAGATTTATTTTTTATACAAAATTTGGATAAACTAATCAATTTTTAAGGAAGAACTAAAGTACTTCACATTTAAAGTATTTACTTTTATCTATTTTAATTAATTTGACAATTAAATATTACGAAAAGTAAAATTTTATTGAATAATTAATAATATATTATACATTAATTTATAATGATTACTGAAAATAAATTTAAATTTTATTTATTATCATATTTTATTTTTCAGTTCCAAATGAGATTTTTTCACTTAAGAATTGATTCAGAACCTGAAAATTAAACTTACAGTGAAATATTAGTAAAAAATTGTAATTAATAAATTAATAATAATTATACTAATCAGCTGAATCAGAAGTTAAGGTTGAAAAAAAGGAATTAACATATTCTATGAATTATTATTATTATCTACCCTGTCGGGAGAAGAGAAAAAAAATATAATAAATCAAACTAATTTATCATATTTAACCTCTTTTAGCTCTTCTATCTTTCTCTCTATACACTTCGTCCATGTTTTACTTCATATACAATTCATTATTTTTTTATTAAATGTATTAGGATTTTAATTTAAATGATCTTTAATTAAATGCTTATAAGTAGCTCTCTGTGCATGTTTTTTACATTATAACTCAGCTTTATTTAATCAATATTTATAATTTTAAGATAAATTCACCAATTTTCCTTTTATTCGGCTACGTTCATACACACCACATTATCCTATCATATCACTTCCACTTTATAAACTTACTCTCTCATTCATCTTCTATTATATCTAATTTACAGCCAAAATATTGATTTCATCTAAATATTTAATTGATGAGAGTCGATTATTTTATATTAAATGTTTTACCCTCATAAGATATTAAAAAATTATATTTTAATTCTATTAGATGCAAAAAATAAAGCTACACATGCAAATTATTTATTTTTAAATTCTAAAAATAGAAATTAATAAAAATTATAAATTCTTAATTGCAATATTTGATCTATTTTCTTGATATATATACTCTATATTTTTACAATAGAATTTACTAAATGTCTAAATTAAATAAATGATTTCTAATTGAATACTAAAATTTATAGTTTTTGGTTTGCCTATAATTTAAGAATTAAAAAAATTTATTACAGAAGAGGAAAGTATTCATATCTGACTCAAATTTGTTCTATCTAATTCAGATGGGAAATTATTGTCTTTCATATCTTTTTTATCTAAAACTACTTATTTTCAATAATTGTGAGAAATCGATATTTTCTTCTAATTAACTTAAGAATACATAAAATTATTAGATTTGGTAAATAGACATAAAAGAAAATAATTAAAGATTTAAATTACTTTACAAATGATTGAAATTTCACCACCAACTTCAATTTTTTGGAAAAAGATATTATCTGATTAATTCTTTTTTGATTAGTTGTATTTATTTTTATAAAAATATATACTTGTGATTGAAATCTTAATTAAAATTCTATAATATTTTATTGCTTAAAAACAGAACAAATTTGATTTTAATGAAAAGCTCATGTCAAAAATATTTAATAATATTTTATCTTTTCAATCAAGAAGAATGAGATTGTCAAATATTTATTCAATACATTTGATTTTAGATGTTGTATCAATATTTATTTATGATTTTTTGTTATTAATAAATATATCCAAACTTCACAATGATAATATTTAATAATATTACAAAAATCATTGAATTAAATCACTTTAACAATTTTTGCAAAGAATATCACTCTTAGAATAGATTTCTAACTAGAAATAGATATTAATGTTTTGATTTGACATTATTTATTTGCAGATAAAATATAGTTCCTAAGCTGGGTATATTATTATGCACATTGTAAATCAATCTGATTGGTATTGTGCTGAGGAAGTTAAATTAGGTTTTTTAACACTTAGGTAGAAAAAGTCAATTTTTCAGGAAAAAGATATTATAAGATATATAGTATGAATAGAAATAAAGAATATTGCCAAAAGAATAAAAATTATTTTTCATTAAAAAATGGAAGGCATAGTAATTTGGTTAAGAATTATAACAAAAGTACTATTTTATGAAATATTAAAGGATAATTATGATAAATATTTTATTAATGATGCCTAAACATATTCATTTCATATTATTTAATTCCTTAATTAATTGTCTAAACTCATTTTATTCTAATTTGCAATATAAAACTGCTTGCTCATAATTATTTTTGGCTTATTAATATTTCTTCAATTACGTTAGTAAATAACCTATTCAAATTAAATAAATTGATTAACCTTTATTGAAATAGGCTTTTGCATCATTAGGATCTAGTTGGATTGCTTTATCATAACAATCAATTGCATCGTTATATTTTTGTAGATTGTTTAATGAATAGCCTATTAAAATCAAATAAATTGATTAACCTTTATTTATATAGGCTGATGCATCATTAGGATCTAGTTGGATTGCTTTATCATAACAATCAATTGCATCGTTATATTTTTGTAGATTGTTTAATGAAATGCCTATTAAAATCAAATAAATTGATTAACCTTTATTTATATAGGCTGATGCATCATTAGGATCTAGTTGGATTGCTTTATCATAACAATCAATTGCATCGTTATATTTTTGTAGATTGTTTAATGAAATGCCTATTAAAATCAAATAAATTGATTAACCTTTATTTATATAGGCTGATGCATCATTAGGATCTAGTTGGATTGCTTTATCATAACAATCAATTGCATCGTTATATTTTTGTAGATTGTTTAATGAAATGCCTATTAAAATCAAATAAATTGATTAACCTTTATTTATATAGGCTGATGCATCATTAGGATCTAGTTGGATTGCTTTATCATAACAATCAATTGCATCGTTATATTTTTGTAGATTGTTTAATGAAATGCCTATTAAAATCAAATAAATTGATTAACCTTTATTTATATAGGCTGATGCATCATTAGGATCTAGTTGGATTGCTTTATCATAACAATCAATTGCATCGTTATATTTTTGTAGATTGTTTAATGAAATGCCTATTAAAATCAAATAAATTGATTAACCTTTATTTATATAGGCTGATGCATCATTAGGATCTAGTTGGATTGCTTTATCATAACAATCAATTGCATCGTTATATTTTTGTAGATTGTTTAATGAAATGCCTATTAAAATCAAATAAATTGATTAACCTTTATTTATATAGGCTGATGCATCATTAGGATCTAGTTGGATTGCTTTATCATAACAATCAATTGCATCGTTATATTTTTGTAGATTGTTTAATGAAATGCCTATTAAAATCAAATAAATTGATTAACCTTTATTTATATAGGCTGATGCATCATTAGGATCTAGTTGGATTGCTTTATCATAACAATCAATTGCATCGTTATATTTTTGTAGATTGTTTAATGAAATGCCTATTAAAATCAAATAAATTGATTAACCTTTATTTATATAGGCTGATGCATCATTAGGATCTAGTTGGATTGCTTTATCATAACAATCAATTGCATCGTTATATTTTTGTAGATTGTTTAATGAAATGCCTATTAAAATCAAATAAATTGATTAACCTTTATTTATATAGGCTGATGCATCATTAGGATCTAGTTGGATTGCTTTATCATAACAATCAATTGCATCGTTATATTTTTGTAGATTGTTTAATGAATAGCCTATTAAAATCAAATAAATTGATTAACCTTTATTATTATAGGCATTTGCATCATTAGGATCTAGTTGGATTGCTTTATCATAACAATCAATTGCATCTTTTTATTTACCAAGACTTTATAATGAATACCCTTAATATATAAAACAAGTAAATTACCCTATATTATATAACCAATAGAATATTTAAAATCGGAATTTAATGCTTTTTCAATGCACTAAATTGCTTATTAATGTTAATTCAAATCTTATAAAGAAAAGCCTTTTGTACAAAATATATGATTACTTTTTCTATATAATGCATGTAGATGTTAAGGTTCTTCTATCAAAACTTTATCACATTATTAGATTGCTTCTTGATATTTCTTCTCTTCATTTAATGCATAACCTATTAAAATTATTGATTTAATTTCCTTTTTGCAATTAAAACAAACTTATTTTATGGATTTTATGTTAGTTCTTTATTTGAATAATCCAAAAGATCTGTATATAAGTTACTATTAATCTATTTAGCTTATTATCTCATTTTTATACCTTTTCCAAGTTGATTCATTTCAATTAAAGTCATACCTTAATTATATAAATATTTTAGAATTACTTTAAAAGATAGTGGCAAATGATTTTTGTTTTTCTAATAATTTTAAGTATTAATTTATTTTTTCATTAGCATCATACCATTTCTTTTGATTTAATAATTATATTCCTAATATATAATTTTATAGAAATCTAATACCTTACTCAAGTGTAATTTCATTCTATTGTTTAATATTTTTAATTTATTATTATTCTTTATCTAAATCAAAAGCTT